CCAGCCTGCCCTCTGCAAATCRACATGGCCGTGGGACTTTGAACGCGGTATTTCTCCTTCCTGGGCCACYGCAGGTGCTGGTGGATGAAGCGTGGCCAGGCTGGAGGTGTCTCTGCAGACCTGCACAGCTCGGGGAGCTGCRGCTGCTGGCCCTTGCCCGAGGACAATCCATACTGCTGGGAAGAGAAGTGCAGCCACGGGGGTTGTCAAGGCCATGCCACCAAGGCCCTCCCCTCCGCGTGAGGTGAGGAAAAGCAGGGGAAGAGAACAGGAAGGCTTCCAGCTCCCGGGTACTGAGTGCAGAGTGAGGCCAAAAACAGTCTCACTCRGACAGCCGAGCAGGTGGAGCACTGACCGGGAGTCGTGAGGAGAACACTTTCCCGTGTGGATTGTGCTTGGTTCGCAGGAGTAGGAGCTGGGCAGAGACTGGTAGATTGGTACTGCCCTTAAGCTGTCGTCACTCAAGGCAAGCAGTGACATAAGTTTCACATCCTCAGCCTTGGCCACAAAGCCACCAGTCATTGTTAGCATCTCTTGCTACCTTCGGGCCTGGCAGAGAGAAAAGAGCTCAGGGTGTGAGTGGTGATCTGCAGCGGGTGCAGGGCTCCTGCAAGGTCTGACTGAGCGCTGCATGAAAACCAAGGGTGCCCATAGCTGTGAGTGCTGCAGACCAGGAATAAAGCCATGTGGGAAAGTTGTCTCCATGTGCTTAGTTTCCCATTGTATGTAAATATTTATTTTCCCTTACAACTGCAAAAAAACTTCACTGCTGAGACTTGGGACCCTCTAGTTAGAAACAACCCTGTGTGGGAGCACATTAAAAGTACCCTGCTTGGCATTTAGTCATGCTGCACAAGTAAGATCCCAAACTCAGCTCATGCAGTCATCTCAAAGTGCTTATTTCTGTAAGTGAAAATAGAGTGGGATTTTTACCCGTGATTTTATCTAGCTGTTTATCCTTTGCTGTTTCCTGTATCAGGCCAGACATGAAGTGTCTATATCTATCTTTAGTATCAAATAAGGGTCAGTTAGTTCCTTGTCTTTGGCTTCCCTTGTGCAGGGCAAGTGTTAGCTCATCCTGAATGGGCATTACTTAAAGCTGGTCCTATGGCTGTCATACAGCTGTTGTCAGATCATTACCTGCAGGAAATAACAGATAACTCTGACAAAATCAYGAGTTTCTGTGTTTGAAAACAATAACTTATTTTTCAATCTGTGTTTTTTTTTCTTTTTTGTGGTTTGCAGATATGGATGTTGAGGCCCATGCTTAGCTGAGGGGTTCTTGGCTTCAGGTCTGTGGGTTCTCCTGAAATGACCCGTGTCTGTTCTGGCAGCAGCAGAGGAGAAAACATTTACATGTCCCCTTGCAAAGAGCCCGCAGCACACAGTGCAGCCAGCTCAAGGAGAGGCAGTGGCCAAAAAGGAAGCAAACCAAACAAATAAAAATGCATAGCTAGCTAATATAAACAGCATGTCAAGAGAGAAGCAACTCTGAGTGCTTGTCTTCCAGACAGAGACGATATCTCCTCCTTTCTGCTTGCTCTTGATCACATTTTCTCCCTCCCTTATCGGTGACCAGGAGGAAGCTGCAGCAGCCACTTTGTCACCTGCAACACGATGTTTCAGTCCTTTCCTTGGGTAGGGCACCGCAAAGCATTTTGTACATAGAGGGGCAGAGAGGGAAGGCTCTAACCAGCCTTGCAAGAAAACGAAATGTATTTGAGAATGCGCAAATGATGGGTGGTTTGGTTGCTTGCCCGGTCTTGAGCCATTGCTATTTTGCTCGTAAAAAGAAAACCCAGACCCAATCTCCCCATCTAGTTTAGCCTAAGCTTATGAGTTTGAGATAAATGCAGCCCACTCCTGCTCTGAAATTTGTTCACCATTTCATCTACAGATAGATGCTTTTCTAGTCGCAATTGATAGAAATTTTGCTATGGCAGCAGAATCTTCAGGATTTTAGGTATCTCCAAAAACCAGAACTTTCTTCATGGAGTCCTATGCAGAACTTCAGACTCCTTGTCCTAGGAGTCTGCATCCATTACCCATTCTCATTCCCTTAACACATGAATTTAGATTCTTTGTTTTGCTTTACCTCTGCTTGTTAGTCAGAGCTAGCTGTCCTTAAAATACACCCCCTGGCCCTAATGGCATGAGTAAGCAGGCCTGACTTKGATAAAAGTAATTCACACAAAAGGTATGAAAAAACGTTCCTCTGTTCTTTTTTTATGTGGGTGAGGCATGGACTGCAAGTTGGGATGGAAGTTGCTCAGCACTTCCAAGAGCTCCCTCTACCTGCGATTACATGGGTCTCATGGTCACAGAAAAGACAACAAGCTATTAAACAAGTTAAAAACTGGCTGGGATGGAAGTTGCTCAGCACTTCCAAGAGCTCCCTCTACCTGCGATTACATGGGTCTCATGGTCACAGAAAAGACAACAAGCTATTAAACAAGTTAAAAACTGGCCAAAAAAAAAAAAAAAAAAAAAAAAAAAAAAAAAAAAAAAAAAAAAAAACAGGTGCTTAATAGTCCAGTGCTTCTGTTCTCTTGCTGTTCTCTACAAAACTTTCTTCCAGACTGTCCTGCTGCCCTCTGTGGGCTCCACCTTGAGTAATCCTTGGGGCACGTGCTGGGAGGACGAGCATCTGAGAGACTTGTGGATCTCGCCTGCCGCCACGTGCCGGAGCTGCTTGCCAGAGAGCTGCCCTGCTCTTGAGAGGGCCAAACGTGCCCCTCGTCTGGCTGCCCAACTCTGCGAGGTCCCAGGGAAAGGCCCTTGTTGGGACCCACGTGTCCGGGGAGCCGTGGAGGTGGGAACCCCTTCCCAGAGGGACAGGCCGAGATGGMGGTTTTGGTGCCTGGACAGGAGGGTGGCACATGTGGGTTCCTGCCCTAATCTTTGCTTAGGTGCTTTATTGCAGCAGGGGTTTCCATGGCTTTGGCTGAGGGTTTTTGCAGGATGTTTATGCATRTAAGTTCTAACATTACTAATTGCAGCTGATTCGAATAAAATACAGTATTGCTAAGAATATTTATGCATTAAAAGTCAGTTGTGAAGCGGGAAGGGGGTTTTATTTTTCAAACTTTCCCTGCATCTGCCGGGTTTCCAAGGCTGCAAACCCTGCTGCTTGCCGGCTTGAGCCGCTCGGCGCTGCGCGGCTCCCTGCGGAGCGGGACGAGGGCGCCGGGTGCYGGCGCTCTTCCTCCGTACCCGCTCTGCCCGGCAGAAACAGGGGTGGAAATAGGTAGGGTTTTGCCCAGTAACAGGGCAAAATCTTGTTTTCCTGTGTGTATCTACCAGACGGAGGTGGCTGTAAACATGATTTCCGTCCTGATGGGCCGCGCAGTCTCTATTTGCGAAGCTGTGCTCATCACAGGAATGCAGAGCGGTGATCAGCAGGGTCTGCTAGGAGCTGGGCCTGGAAATGTCATCCCGCGGCGCTGGGGGGCCGGTGCTGGTCCCAGGGCTGCTTTTCCGTGATGTCCCGAGGGCTGCACGCCCTGGACGGGCGCATGGTGGGGCTGGAGCACCCTCTGCAGGGGCCTTGCCTCGCTCCGCGCCTCCGCATCCCTGCATCCCTGCATCCGCATCCCTGCATCCCTGCCTCTGCTCCTTGGGAACACCGCCTTCCCCATCCTCCTTTCTGTCCTAGCCGCAGCCTCCTGGTGCTGGCAGTGCTCCRGGAGGAAAGTTACAGGTGGTGTTCCCTGCCTCACTTGGGGGACTGCATGAGAAGCTCCTGATTTCACTAAAAARACAAAAGCTTGAGCGCCATGTATGTGGCTTTGTGAGATGAAAGCAGGTGAACCATTAAGGACAAATTACTTAGCAGTCACTGCTATTTTGTAATAGCACAATTTTTAGAAATRTGTAAGCTTTGAAATRCTTTCTTTTCATGAAGTCTGGGGACACCCGGAGCTACTTCTGCAAATGCTGTGTCGCTGTCTGGGTAGGTTACAGGCTTCATGTACAAAAGCCTTCAGCAGGGCTTTTCAAGGCTTCTTTTAAAGCCTAAAAACAAACAAACAARCAAACAAAAGGCCCACGCTGCCTTCATTTCATTCATATTTACTATTAACTTACCCCGTCTATGGCTTTATTCGCTGTTGCCCTGTTTGCTGCACCCTCCCACGCACAGTCAGTGGCAAACGACCCAATATTACCGTGATAATGTTTTTCATTACTTCGCCTTAGCAGATAAACGCAGCACAAGGTGCTGGCCRGGGACGAGCTGGGCACTGGGTGTCCTTTTGCTATGGGCGGTGGCAACGAGGGGACACGCGCAGAACAACAAATATAGCATATGTTATATCTAACCTAGCAGGTTGTATTTATATTATAAATAAATAACATAAATTAATAAATAAGTAATATAAAATAATAAAAATGACAGTAATATGTGCAATATATCTATAATATTTACTTGCAGAGCAGATTATAATAATATTGTATATTTATAATACAAATATGAAGAATAGCGGGCAGGGTTTGCAAGCCCTCGACCCGCGGGGCGGGAGCACACACGCTCTGCTAGCAAAAGGTGCGAATATTTGTGGTTAATAATAATGAATGTATAATGAATGGCTTTAACACGGGAGTGCTG